TGTGTGTGTGTGTGTGTGTGTGTGTGTGTGTGTGTGTGTGTGTGTGTATGAGTGAAAATGTATGCTAGAAGGAAGACACGTTCGTTTATGAAATTATAATGTGCGCCCTGCAGCCCATTTACTCTCTGCATTTGCATCATTTTACATTGCAATTGTACACACTTGAATGTCGGCGCGAATGTGTCACTATTCAAGCAAACAAATAAACACTACAAATTAGTTACAAGCAATCACACACAAGAAAGGACTTAACGCGAGCGCTCTATATCTCTTTCTCTCTCTTAACGTGGCGTATATGCAGAGAAATGAAATTAAAATGGTTTAGCAAATGAAGAAAAGAGAATGGTAAATGAGGCGCTCATATACGGCCATCATTAATGTAATATTACGCAGTAGATATTGAAATAATAATTTTTTTTTCACTTCCAAAGAAGTGATGCGCGCGATGTCTCGAATGTGATTGCACAATTCTGGCCATAAAAGCGATATGCCATTTAATGAGAACTGTTGTTATGTGATGCTGCAATAAAAAGTTGTCAAAGACTCTTTATTGCATTCATATGTCGGCTGTTATTGTCAGCACGACAATGCTTATCATAAGTTCTTTTTCACACACACTCATATGCCACATTCAGTGTATGTTCGATTGTTCGGCCAATGTGTATCGCTTCATTTACACTTCAAACACAAAAAGAGGTGCGAGCGTGTTTGTGTGTGGCACAATAATTTCAGTTTCATTCTTTATTGCATACAATCAGTTTGTCGTTTTTATTACTATCAAAACGACCATTTTTTTCCCTTCATTTTCGTCATGAATTATGATATTGCGAGAGAAAAAAACGAATTAAATTATATGTGTGCGTGAATTGTAGTCGAGTGTGAGTTTTGTGTTTAACAAGTCACTAAGTCAGAATTTGTAAATTTTATTAAATTTTGTGACAAAATGCAACATAAAATTTGTGAATTTATGAACTGCATCGCCGTCGTATAATCAAATCGAAATGTCTGTTCCTCATCGACTCCATTTCGACGATAATTTCCAATCGTTTTATTTTAGCTGCAAATGGAAATGTATCTGATTTATGTAAATTTAATATTTTCTACTCCATACAGTGAGCCTTAATTCTCTCTAAATATAAACGTAATGTACATTTCAGATATTTTCAAACTGTTTTTTTTTTACATTTCTTGATAACCCACTGGCAATGTTATTGATTGATGATCTCGTTGTCGTAAATTTTCAATTGGCGAGATAAAGAGAGAATATATTTTGTCGATGAGAAATTATTCACATAAACCATGCATCCTTATTTAAAAGTTGTAATTTTGCAACAAAGTTACATAAAATTCCTTCGAAGCAGCAGCACTCTTTTGAGAATGTTTCAATATTTATCCGTTTATTAAAATTCCACTTCAACATCATTCCACAGAATTCACTTATAGTTTGAATAAATTGATTTTTACGAAAAATTTAACGAATTGAACTCGCTTCCCTTGCTCACTTGCCGCTGAGCTGGACATACGTTTATACTTGAATTGAAGTGATTCGAAACGAATTCCAAAGAGCCTTTGAGGATATCGAACACAGTCACTGAAGCATTCAAATGAAGTGAACACGCTGAATACGAGTGCGTATTCAGAAAATGTGAAATTAAACGAATGAATTGTTAAATTGTGAATATGATGAAAATAAAAAAAACTGTTTGGATGCTATTGAAGCACCGCTTTTAAAGAATGAAGTTGGAAAAAAGCTTTGACCGCTTTCCTTTTGTTGAACTATATTGCATGACGTTCAGTGTATTTCAGCTGTTATCTTTTAGGTACATGTGTGTGTGCGCGCGCGCGCCAAACAATGAGTCAGCATAATATCTTTTATACATATTCAGATGAAAGCTGCTATTTTAAGCAAAATAACAAAGACATCGCTTTTGCACAACGGAACACAATGGACACGATGAGCAGCAGTGTTCAGTGTGCGAACGAGCCAGCAATATTTTATAAATCGCCTTTGATTAAGGAAACAGCGTTGTCGGTGGTGTGGCACTTACGATAAAGATTTGTGGGTGTCCAAGCAGAAAACGTGACGGAAATAATAGCGACCAACATCAAAACATGACTGGTAGAATGAGTGTGTATGTGCGTGTGTGAGAAAGATGGAGAACGCACAATGGAACAGGAAACAATCTCCAAAGAAAAAAGAAAGTAAACTCAGAGCGACAGCATAAAGTGAAAATCCTGTTTTTAATGCTATTAGATCTATTCTGTTCGTGGAAAATATCTCAAACAAACTTCGATTGATACAATGTGAATGCATTGATTCGCCTTAATGCCACTTCAAGCAAAACGGAATTAAAATCGTTCGGGTACTTTCGAACAAAGCAAACGCATTTTAAAGAAATAAAATATATTGTAAATGGAAACGAGAATTATATCGTGAATTTGGTCTTGTTTATTTATTGAAATTCGCCGAATTCGGAGCAGTTCATTGAGTTTTTACAATATTCTTTTTCGTTGGTCGTCCTTTTTGTGTATTTGATAAAGAAAACAGCGACTACAAAAAAATGGCTGTGCGTTTGTGAGGATAAAACATATTTTTATTTATTTATAAATTCAATGCAATAATTTTCAGTTTATTTTAATCTGTCGATACAAAGGGCCGACGCCGATGTTTGTGCGGCAGCGGTGGCATCAGCATCGTAAATCAATATTCAAACATGTTGGCCAATAAATTAAACGGAACAGAAATCATTATAAATGTATACATATTTCATATTAGCATTTATTTTTCATGTGCTTTTCGAAAAATATCTCCATACAATTATATCCAACGAAAACCCACAACAACAACAAAAAAATTCATATGGTCTATGCGGTGGCCACGAAAACGACCATACCCATCAAAATTACATAATATTTTATTCATTACGTTCTATTATTTATTCCATTATATAATTGTCGTGGTGCGTGTGTATGTGTTGTTTATTTATTGCGCGTGTCACATTCCATTCATCATATTTCGATTTGGGCACACCAACGGTATGCGTGTGTTTGTGCATTCATGAAAGACTGCCGACAACGAGGCATACAAATAAGCAATAATGATGGAATTGACAATTGAAGACAAATAGAGCGGAATGCAAAGAATAAACCCCCAAAAAAGAGACAACGAGAGAGAGAGAGAGAATATAATAATTTATGACATTGAATGGTTTTTGGCTGGTGTTTAATGCCCAATTAATATCTTTTATTAAAATGTGTTCGATTTATTTGTCGTTGGTATCGTTGTTGTTGTCGCACGCAATTCGATTTGCGCCGTTATATACCGCCAGGGATAAAATATTTCTTTATGCTATAAAACATCGTTTATGATTCAAAAGCAACGGATGATAATGATATATGCTAGCATTCATTACCGTTCAATGTGAACAAGGCACACTGTGTATGTACACGAAAGCAGCACAAGCTCGCATAGCATAAAAGCCACAAAACGCACGCTCACCATATTAAAATGATATTTTTGCTAATAAATATTTGCGGTTATTTTTCCCAGGAAATATTCAAACACAAATTTCGACGAAACATTCTAATAGATTGTACCCACAGCAAGTAGACGGAGAATGTGAATTGTCGCAAGACAACGTGATGCTTCCCTCCGATCACCCGCTCTCTCTTGCCATTGTCAACGTTAAAATATTTTGCCAATCAATGTACCATGTTTCACGTTTCAAGTATTCATTTATTTGCGTTGTTGACGATCGACAGTTTTGCCGTACTTTTTCATTCGTGCATCTATACTTCATTTATCTCGTTCTTTTTGCTGCGCTTCATTTTTCATTCTTATTTAAAGAACTGATCTGAATTTTAATGATTGTTGAGAGCAATTTTGCCATTGAAACCGGAAGAGCTGACTAATTTTTCTACGTTGCATTTACTTGAATGTTCGATTTCATCTTTTTCCTCGCTTTGAGTTCTCTTTTTATCTCATCGCGACGATGCTTAAGGTAAAACTGACATTAGCATTATCGCGTATCATTTGGATTAAGAATGGCAATTCTGTAAGATACTCTGCAAACTACTTCAACCAGTCGCATATATCTCTTTCTCTCTTTCTCGATTCCCTATGTATTCATTTTCAATTGGATTTTCATCATTTGAAATTGAAGCTGAAGTGGAAGTTCGATTTTTACCATTGAAGATTAATGGCAATCGAACTTGAACGATTTTTAATTGGTATTCTTCGGGACATTTAAAAAAATCGCTTGCGAAAAGAAAATTCGATGAATATAATAAAAAATCGAGTTTTATTCAAAATTAAAATATTAAAACTTACCGGAATGGCAGCACAAACATCCAAATCATAAAGTCCATCCTCTGAGCATTCGATGGTTGTTCCAAGGACTGCATTTAAATCTTGCAGAAATGGTGGCCGTGGCGGCGGTGGTAAATGGAATTTTGGTGGTGGTCCTGGACCGTCGCACGCATCATCACCACATTCGAAAAAATCGCTTTCGAACATTTTCCACATCAAAATTTGTATCGATGATGAAATTCCCCTTTACTTTCTCCCTCTGTGTAATTTCGGCTGATTGAAGCCCGTTTTCGGCACAGACTGTCTCTTGATGAAGAACAATCTTGCCAGTCGTCGAAACGAAGAAAAAGAAATAAAGAAAAAAACTAAAACGCTTCACACAATTTTATGGCGCATTTGAAATGTTGATACGCGTTGAAGCGGTCTATGCTCAGAACAAAAATTCAATTGAATTGTGTGTGAGTGTGTTTTTTTCTATTTGATTTTTATTGTTTGTGTTTTGTGTCAGCCTAGATGTGGATTATCATTTTCGATTTAAATGTCGGTTACGATCTGAAACGAATTGAAAAAAAAAACGAATTAGAGAAAAATGCGGTCAATCAAATATGTCAATCAAACAATTGAAAGGTAAATAGAATAAAAACATGCTTAAAATTAGAAAACAACTTAATCTTTTAATAAATAAAACTTGATCTATAATGCCTATCGATTGTGTGTAGCAACCTGTCTGTTGTCCAAATACAGATAAGTTGCCAATTAATGTTCAAATACGATCGGCAGGCACAAAACCTGGAGCCACACACAAATACATTCAAATTGTCAATGTGCATCCATTTTAAAATCGAGATCTTGGTTTCTTGAAATTGACTTCAACACTGACACACTCACAACATTATTATTATTTTGTATTTTGTTCGACGATGGCTCCCAGCAGCTCTACATTGTTTGAGCCGACACGGACGACTTCAAACATAATACGGCCTAATATATGTTTGCATCCTCAGCAATATAATGTAACAATTTAAATGTCTAAAATCAAAATGTATATTGATTTGCGCACACATTTTGCATCGGAAAGCAACAAAACAAGCAACGATCGCCTAAATACCGACCAAATTACATAAAACAGGTTTCCATTTTGGTTTTTCCACTTTGCATTTGACATTCGGATTTGTACATTGTGATAAGCATATGATTCTGACACCAAATGTACGTACGTTCTGTCGCCTTTTAGAGTGCGCGATTCCATCACAACAAAAAAAATTATATGTACAAATCAACGGCAGCATCTCTTACAAAGAATGAAAAACAGCAGCAACACGAACGACATCAACAAAAAATGTCAGGAAATTGAATGAGCGTAAATACAATGGCCATGAATGTAAATTTCCAGTATAAAATGTGAAATACAAGAAACGGTTTTGTTTTTTGTTTATTGTGGTTAGTTTTTTTATTGTTGCCTTGCTCTTGTGAATTGCAGGTAGTCGTCGATGTACTTTGTAGCATTTCTCCAAGACTTTGTCGAGCTGCCAACCGCAAACGGAACACCAAAAAAAAAAGTAAACAAACACACCATTCCATCCAAATAAACAAACAACCAAATCAATCGTATTGACAGCGATACGTCGTCTGTTGCTCTTGCTCGATCAAAGCAGATGTCAATCAACTTAGGCCATGTGTGTGTGTGTTTGTAGGCGCGCGCTCGCGCGTAAGCGTTCTTGTATGCCTTTCATTTATCTGTCGCTTTCGTATTTTATGTTGCGTTTTGTCAGATGATTATGTGGTTTGGGTCAGTGACAAAACATAAGAAAAAAGCCTTCATGGCATTATGTGCCCGAAAATGGCATTATGCGCCCGTTTAAAGTGAGAAAAGAACAAACAATGCAATGCGCGCACAGGATCAACGTCAAACCGTATCTTATCGTCCCCATGCATCGCAAACGATGTGTGAGGCATTGACAATTTTGGACATTTTTACCTTTAGCATGCATCACGATATGCCATAATCATTGACAACACGATCTACATATACATAATGTGTGTGTGTGCTTGTATGTTTTACACCCGCTTTTGCTGCTCTCTGTGGCAATGCCATTTTGTCTGTGCGGTAAACAATTTGAATGCTTATTCTCCATGCAGAAAATGTCTGTCTCGTTTGCAAGAGCCCACTTACATATCTCGTTATGCGATTGAAGTGCACTTATTGATTGCATTGCCATGGCATGTTTCTGGCATCTTCTGGGATCGTTTTTCACACAAATGCCCAATTTCAATGAGAAGTGGTAATCTTTCTGTGATATCACATTGAAATATATACGCTTTGTATTAATTTTATACTTATTTCAAAGCATTTTTTTCTCTCAAATTTCATATGTAGAATCTAGTAGATTGCATCAGATTGTAATCGAAATTCAGAATTTTCCCATATATCTCAATTAAATAGTATTTCTTTGATCAAAAATGTGATTTTGTTTTACTGGCTTCATATGTAATCAAAAGATATTACATTTGTATAAAAGCTGAAGTCAACACCTTGGCTCCGACGAATGCCAGTCATTTCAAATAATATTTATAGAATTGAAACTGAATTGTTTACAGAGAAATGTAGAATTATCTTGTGTATACTGAAATATATCCTTGGAAATTCTGTAAACTCATTTCTCTCTGTTTGTGTGTGTATATGACAAATTCGAATTAGACACGTGAACAGAACCAACAGTGGTAAAACAGAAAATGAAAAACGACATTCCAAATTATACCGCAGTCACACAACAACAACAACAATATCAATAACAAAACGGAACGAACGTATATGCAAATGATAAGGTATGGCTTTCGGATAACTCGTGTATGTGTGTCTATGTGCTGAACATAGAGCTTGTTGATTTTACGTACAATGTACAATAGCAAATCGTGTAAGGTAATGAATATGTTATTTGCATTTGGAGCCTTGCATACCCAGGCTGAACGAATACATTATTGGTGTGTCGTTTGGATGTTTCTTTGTTTTTGGCATTATTTTTTTATTCTCTTCATGCCATCCATGTCTCTATCTCTTTTTGCAATGATCCTTGCTTCACATGATATATATGCGATGCTATGCATTTGATGAATATTTTATTCCTAATTAAATGAACGGACAGCAACGCACTAACGGACACTCGGACGCATCATCATCAGAATTGTGTGCAACATACAATGAGCTCAAAAGTTAGAATTCAATCCATTTGTGCTGCTGCAGCATCTGACCCGGGATTTTTGGAATGCTATACCCGGAAATTAATTTGTCGAAAACACTGGAACGCATGCTGCGTTTTCTGTACGATGCTTTCATGTGCTAAATTAGAATTTAAATTCCTTTCATTTCAACAACAATCAGATTCAACTAGACAAATCGGATTTTTTATGAATTCATTCAAGACAATCAAAAAAGATTTTTTCATTTAAATGAAAAAAAAAAAAATGGTTTATTCCATTTGTGCTATTTCGGATTTCACTTTTGATTGACAGCTCTGATTGCAAAATTTAATTTTGGCTTTGAATTGAAAAACTGATTCGGTTTCAAGAGATCAAAGATTAGAACATTTTCCCCTTCGATGATATCTGAATTATGGGATTTTGCTCATATATTTTTTTTCGTTCATACGTCGTAAATCTTGTCAGAGATTTCATTCTTTTATTGAAAATTGAATTTTTCACCTGAGAATTACCATGTTCAATAGCACTCTTATCGTTCACCTGAACATTTCTCAATTTTCCGTTCTCTTTATAATATTTTTTCAAATTTAATGTCAATGATGCTCAAATTTGAAATGCATATTACACATTTGAATCATAGCGTGCGCATCCATCGCTCGCACTCTGCTGGCTCATTCGTTTTTATCGACATGTGCAAGCGTTCGCATTCAATGCTCAACTCTTTTCGCTTCGGTATCAATTCGGCTTGCAAAGCATGCATAATTGAATTTAAAATGAGATCAATTCCATCTGCAGTCATTATAATCGATGCGATGAGAAGTGCAGAAATCAAACTAACAACTTCTACGAAAAATTTAACAGAGCTCCTACTTCCTTCTTCGGGGATTTTTTTTGCATCTCCATTTTGCATAATTGCAATTTTAATAAACATAAATGCAGTGGGATTTCGAATACACGAGCGCCTTGTACATACAACGTTAACACGCTGTGATGCCTTCAAGAGTCGAACGAATTCTGGGAGTAATACAATTCTAATGTGTGTACGCTGTCACATACATATTTGCCATCTTCAAAATTCAAATGCAATGTGCAACTTCAACTTAAAGCACTTTTGAGATGCTTTTTTAACGACAATGTCCAAATATTGGATTTTATATAGCCATTGCTGATGCGAAATTTTAAAATGGATATAGTCCGAAATTTGTCCATTTCGATCGTCCATTTGGGGTTCACATCAAGAATCAACCGGCAATGTAGTAGATTTTCAAATGTGTAAATTGCACATTCGCATTGAAATTGCATCCCGTTGGCAAAATGGTTCGCTTCAAATTTACAATTTTCACTCTGGATGCGAATCATGTAATGAATTTTCAATCTATTACATTTTGCATTTCAAAATACAAACACTCACACACATACAGACCAATTGAAGAAAAACGAGCGCTGGATGTACGTGCGTCGAGCATAGTTTAAGATAAAGTAGCCCGTGTGCAAATACATAATGTTTTGAGCACTTGCCAACCCACTCATTGTTAGTTAGTTGTTTGCATCGGTCGAAACTGAATGCTGCATCGATTATTTGAAGTGTAACAAACAAACAGACGACGAAGAAGAAAAAAGAAACGAGTAACGTTGTGTGACAGAAAGCAGAAAATTCGTTTCTATTTATTTGAGAGAGAGAGAGAAAGAAAAGCGGTAACATTGTGTTTCGCGTTCCGCATCCTACATTCAAGACATTATGTTGCTGCTGTCATTTTCAATGTTATGAAAGAAAAAAATTCTGCACAAATTTCCATTTTTCTCCCGATTTTAAATTTTCGTCTTTACCACTATTCGAATTTGATAAAAAAATCAGTTCATTTCGTTGGCGAATTCTGAAGTATTGTGCATGTTCTACCTTTCGTTCGGCTGTGTCACTCTGCCATGTTCGATGCATTTTTTTCTTTTCAAGCCATTTCGTCTTCATCATTATGATCTTCACCGTATTTGCCATTATTGTGTTTCCACAATTTTGCTATAACTTCATTCGTTGTGATGCCACTCAACTACCTCTCGATGAGTCTCTGTGTGTACGAGTGTGCATGTTTGTTCGTTGTATTGTTATTGAACAAAAGAAACGAATGTCGAATCGGCGCGTTCACAATCATTTAAATATGCAAACACGAACATCCAAAACTATAATTCATGTTGCCATTGCTTCTGCTGCTTCCTGAATACATATTGATGATATTGCATTATGCGCCAGTTCATTTTGATAAATACGACCGATTGCGATAAATATGCGAGCTGCCGTTAAACTAAATCCATCTCGATCTTGTTTTCGCTATTTCTCTTG